TTCTCTGCTTCCACCACGCGAGTCCTCGGGATTGACTCAGGCAGTCAGGGTTGACAGCAAGCACGTTCACCTTTCAAGCCATCTCTCAGGCTCAAATTTGATGTTGTTTGTTTATTTCTAATTTTTGCAAAGTTGTCGCACGTAGACAAATAGCCAGGGACTGTTTTTGGTGAGTGCAGATTAATTGGGATTCCTTTATTATCGAGTACGTTAACTTCTAAAATTCATGCTTTTGCTGGACAATGCGACACTTCCATACTCTTCATGGAGAGTCACTTGTTCCGTGTTTTTGCTCCCAACATCAGGTTGTCTTGGGTCTAGAACACTGAGTGTCTTCAATGTGACGTCCACAACAGCAGAACACTGACTTGAGCGTATCTTGGGCTGCTATTCCGCTTAGCTCAATGACGCTGCTAATCAGTGAAGGGCTGGGTGCTTCCTCTGCTTAGCACCTAACCCACAGTCTCTGGGTTTGACTGAATATTAACGTCTTAATAAATTTTGTGTTGCCGTAACAGAATACTCAAGACTGGGTAAGTTATAAAGAACAGAAATTTACTTCTTATAGTTCTGGATTCTGGGAAGTTCATAGTCACACTGATGTAGGTCTGCTTGCTACATCCTTTCAGGGAGAAAAGGGAAAAGGCCTTGAATCTCATTCACAGGATAGAGACATCATTTTTTATCAATGCTGTTAAGGGGCCCCACCTCTTAACATCATCACATTGGCAGCCCCTACACTCTGGGGCGGATGCTTTCAACATAACAGAGTCACTAACACCGTGCTGAAGTCTGTTCTCTCAGACCATGGCCTCTCTGTTTAGGTAACCTTGTGTGTGGAAGAGGAAGTCAGGGCCTCCTTCATCAACCTCCTTTATTCCCTTGAAACAGGTTCTCTCATTGGACCTGAAACTAGGTTGGTAACCAACACACCCCAGAATCCTGTTGTCTGTCCCCACGGCACTGGTGTCATAGATACAGGTGGCTATGCCTAGAATATTTTGTGAGCTTGAGAGAATTCAGATTCTTTTATGTTTACACACTAAGATTTCTTATGCAGTGGCCCAAGGTATTTGTGAGAAACAAACTACCCCACATTTATTTAGGGGTACAAAATTACAATTATCATATTGCCACCCATAATTTTATGGGGTGGAAACCCACACGGGTTTTGACTTGATCTCTTCTATCCTCGGTGCTGGTGGCTGCCGCATCTTACTGGCTTCTCCTGGTGGTTGATGTATTCTGGTGGAGAGATTCAAGATGGGTTCACCTGATCATCTGACACCTTGGTCAAAATAGCTGTGAGGATGTGCTTACTTGGGTGCTTTCCCCAATTCATGACATCTCAGAGACTCTCTTAGAGGTCTCTTTACTGGGCAGACCAATTGGATTTCTTACATGACAACTCAGGGCTGCAAACGATGGGGGACAAGCCTGCCTATCCTCCAACTAGGCAGGCTTGAGAGCTGCTTTGTTCAGTCTGTTGACCAAGTCTGTCATAGGCCAGTCAGACTCAATGGGAAGCACAGCCTTCGCCTCTTTATGTCAATACTGACAACACCAGGCTCTAGTTTTACCTTTTCTTTTCCTTCAATTTTTGGTATGAAATACCCCTTTATTTCTCCTCTTTTATCACTCTTAAATGTAAAGACAAGTAAGAGGTGGGCAGAGCAGACATTGATTTCATTTCAAAACAGGGGCTTCAGGATTTGGTTTCCCTGCACCTGTGAGTTCTGTCATCAGTGTGTTGGTGCTAAAGCTAAAACACACCCCATGGATCAAAAGCCTGCAGATGCTGAATGCCTTGTGTGAAATGATGTGCCGTGCTTCCAGCACCTCCATGAGTCTTCCCTTATACTACTATACTGCACTGTTAGTCATCTTTAGATTATTTGAGCTGCCCATTCTAATGTAAGTGCTAGGTTAAGAATTGTTATGTTCAGTGGCTTAGGGGATAATGATAAGAAAAAAAAAAGGACTGTGTTCAATACAGATACCCTTGTTTAAAGTATTTTGGTCCAAGTTTGTTTAAATTCTTGTATGTGAAAACTTCTGGGTGCAGGGAGCTGAATATATGTATATCATGTTAATATGTAATATATTAACATAATATACATATTTTGTTTTTGTCCTCACATTTTTTTATCGTCTACATTTTCTATTAGTCAAGAGTGTGCCTTAAAAATGATTCGTTATGTGCTGTCTCTCAATTTCATTTTGTGATTTAAAGTTTTTTTCCCTCACATATTTTGATTCTTTCTTCTTGGGTATGTGTTGTATCTGGCCTGTGATATCTTCCTTGTGGACTTCAGTCTTCATATCAGCTAGGAGACTGCAACCCCCCGCCCCCCCAGTACTGAGTTTGGGGAGATTTATCTGATGTGAACACTGCCTTTTACATGTCGTTCTCACTTTCTTGTCTTTGGTGACTTTGTGAGCTTAAATTTTAGATGTGTCTGCTACATGGAGTTTTCTACTGATTTGTTTCTTTAAGAATTAGATTTCTTTCCCTTTTAGCACATTAGTTGTACAAAGTTCAGGGCTTCGTAGAGGCTTTTCTTACTCATTCCCTCTGCTATATTCTCATCTCTCTTGCTCTTGTGTCCTTCCCCCTTCATAGTGAATTTTGAACAAAACCCACAACATTGATTAAAGTTTATATCACAGTAAAATGGCCCCCACAGGAAGGTGGACCACGTGTAGCCATCCTTTTTATCTTTCTTTTTTTAAAAAATTTTTCGAGACAGGGTTTCTCTGTGTAGCCTATCCTGGCACTCACTCTGAAGACCAGGCTGGCCTTGAACTCACAGAGATCTGCCTGCCTCTGCCTCTGGAGTGCTGGGATTAAAGGCGTGCACCACTACTGCCCGGCCCTCATTTTTTTCTTTCACTTTCAAAACAGATAGGGCATTCTGCTTCAGAAATCTAAGACCAGGAATGCTCCAACATCTAAGAGGTTTTGGGAGCTGATATGATTCTGCAAGTGGGAAACCTCATGCAATGAAACATTGTTTCACAGGGAAAAAATATGTAAACTTATTTTACAAATGCTGGGGGTATAGTTGGGTGGTAGAGTGCTTGCCTAGCATGCAGGAAGTCATGGGTTTAACACCAGTACTGCCAAAACAAACAAACAAACAAACAAAAAATGGGGTGGGGAGAGGACCCAAAAAGTATCTTACATATAAAAACAGGTAAACTCTGTGTTTAGAGGGCTCTATTCTCAAAAAAATTTATCATGTAAATATAAATAATCCAAATGTCTGAAAAGGAGTCTGAAATTCAAACCATTCCTTGTTCTTGTTCTAAGCCTTTTGGATAAGGGATATTTAACTTGTATTGACTATCAGTATAAAAGTTAGTATTCAGTTAAGTGTAATTAGTCATATATTTCACCACTCTTTTGCCATCTGCAAGACATTGGCAGATTTTCATTAACATATTTCTAGTGATACTCAGTGCATAGAGAAAAAAAAAGTACAGTTTTTGGCTTTGATTTCTCAGTTGTTAAGAAGCCCTGGTCAAGGTTTCACATCTGTAACCCTTTGCTCTGTGGACTTTGAGTTCAATATTGGTAAGGTGGTGTGACAGGGTATATTCGTCATCTATTGCTATGTGACAATTATCCCAACAGATAATGGCCTATTTTCTCACCGTTTCTCTATCGAAGATCTGGCTGGCTTTGGTTTGGCTGGGTAACTCCAATTTGAGATCCCCAGAAACCACATGGAAGAGTCTTCTGAGGTCTTTAAGCTTACCCATGTGGGTTGTTTTCATGAGTCCTCTCTGTGGAGTTGTTGTTCTGGGAACCCTGCCTTGAGTTCTTTACCATGTGGTCCCGTCCATGCTATAACAGCTTGCTTTTTCCATAGTAGGCGCTCCAATGGAGAAAGTGAAAGAACAGAATGAGCAAGACCAAGGCTGCCTTCTGTCTGTGATCTAATCCCACTGTTTCCTAATACTTGTTAGACACTAGCCCCAAAGCCACACATACAAGGAGAGATTCCTTTGCACTGTTTAACATTTATTTTGGATGTGTCTCCAAAATTAGATGCACAAGGAAAGAGAATGTATTCATTTTAATTTTCATTTAACTCAGACATCAATTGTGGTAGTAGACAGGCATCTTCCTTAAGGTAAAACTGTACTCTATTTGGTTTGTCAAGGAAAAATTACTTCCTGTCTTGCGGGGAGTTGAGATACTATACATATGTGTCACACGTGCAACACATATACAGATGTGTAATGTACACACTTAAAAAATTCTCCTCTGCCGGGCATTGGTGGTGCACACCTTTAATCCCAGCACTCGGGAGGCAGAGGCAGGCGGATCTCTGTGAGTTCGAGGCCAGCCTGGTCTCCAGAGTGAGTGCCAGGATAGGCTTCAAAGCTACAGAGAAACCCTGTCTCGAAAAACCAAAAAAAAAAAAAAAAAAAAAATTCTCCTCAAGCCTTTAAAAAATAATATGGTCTTTCTACCTAGTCCTTCTGAAAATTCCGACAAGATAGACCTGGGGACACCCTTAGACATGATCTGTCCTGACTGTACCCCTTATATTCTGCTGCTGTATTTGTTGTATATTTAGTTTCTACACAGAGATCCTACACAAATGCAGACACCCCCAATGTGCTCATACAATAAATAACAAATAAAATCAAATCAGTATTGATTTGATTTGAAAGCATCTGAAGAGAGTCTCTATCTGTCATTTTTCTAGTTCAAATGTAATATACATGAGTATCCACTTATAATTCTGGAATAATGGTGCTATAACTTTAGAATTTTACAAGATATTTAACGGCTTTTGTGTGTGAAACATACATTGTGTTCCCTATACCATTTAATAAGAAGAGCTCTGGCAAGGAAAACTGTAGAAGCTGGTGTCAGGTCTCATTTGTAAAAGTGAATTGTTGCTATCACAATCTCAAATGAACTGATTTGCACTTCCTAAAATGTAATGAACTCACTGGAGTTAACAGTCTAATCTCTGTTTCAGACCATATGTGACCAGCGTGGCTGCTGCTGGGATCCCCAGGGAGCGGGAAATGCTATTTGCTACTTTTCCAAGAATCATGGCTACCAAATGGAGAGTGATCCTGTGATTACAAATGCAGGTAGGCTGAAGGTGGGGCCTCAGACCTGGAGGCTTGGCTCCATCCTAAGGGACAGCTGTACTAGCACATAGAGTACTGACTGCTCTGTTGTCACAATATATATGTGGCAGGGGTGAACACAGCTCTTATCAGTATTATTAGATCCTATTTTGGCAGGAAGCAGTAATCACCTTCTACCTTAGGAATTCAGAGACTATGTTCTGTTTCTGGCCTTATTTTTTTTAAATATAAATATGTATGTATTTTCTTTCTTTTTTGTATAAAAAGATTTATTCATTTTCTTTATTCTTTTCTTGTAGAATAATCCTCTCCCTCCTGTCCTCTAGATCCATTGCTCCTCCAGTTCCCTTCTGAAAAAGAGCAGGCCCACTAGTGATACCAACTGAACTTGGTATAATAAGTTAAAATAAGACTAGGCATAAATCCTCCTACCAAAGCTGGATGAGGCAACCCAGTAGGAGGAAAAGGGTCCCAAGAGCAGGTAAAAGAGTCAGAGATGCCCCCACTTATGCTGTTAGGAGTTCAACAAAAATTCTAAGCTATGTAACCACAGAATGTGTGCAGAGGCCTGTCTTTACTTTTATGCAACTTCATGACTTTGTATAACTATCATGATCATTTTGGTTCCCAAGTGTATTATTTTCAAAGTATGGAATATGAAAATAATGACCTTTAAGATTCATTGAAACCCTATTCTGGTGTCATTTTTATGAAATTGAAACACTTATAATTTTATAACCATGCTTTAGAAGTTACCTAGTTAACATCAGTCTTTGTGGGCTAGTATTTTTCTTACCCTCAAACAAAGACCAACATGATGAGCATTCTGTGCTGAGGATGACAGTGGCTACCACTGTGGGAAGACTCCCAGTGTAAGGAAGGGGCGGGACTCTTAAAGGCCTCCACTCTCTTCACTTGCTATTTAGCACAGGGCATGGCTTCAGTGTGCAAGATGCTCTGTAATGTACTGCGTACCTAACTGAGAAAGAATAATAACCGAGAACATAAAGTGTTTGATCCACAAGCGATGACTGATGGTCAGGTGGCATAAGAGCGAGTCCTTGGGGGCTGTGTTTTCACTCAGATCTTAAAGGAAAGGTTTGTAAAGTTTTGGATACAGTTGTAGTAGTCCAAGATGGGATATGCATATGGGGGGATGCGTGTCTACAGCTTCACTTCTTTGGAAGATAAAGGTTTCTGTTTGCCCCCTTTGACCCAAAGTTTAATGTTACGCAGCCACTATTTGAAAATTTACAGAGCAATTATGAAAACCTTTTCTCTTCTACATGTTAGGACTCACGGCTCAGTTGAAAAACTTGCCCTCTGCACCCCTGTTTGGAAGTGAAATTGAAAATGTCTTGCTCACGGCGGAGTACCAGACACCGAATCGCTTCCATTTTAAGGTTGTAGTGTGTGTGTGTGTGTGTGTGTGTGTGTGTGTGTGTGTTTTCTTTTAAATCTTTTAAGGGACTCTTATAACTCACAACTGCAGTTTCTGCAAAGAAGAACATTTTGCTAAACATAGTATCTTTCTTTGTTATAGCTATGTGGCACTTGTTTGTCAAGGTCTTTGATAGCCTTCTTATTGTGTGGTAACTTCCTCGATACACGTAGAGTTAACCAGTGAACTTTCAGTTTCCACTCATTTATCCCAGATTCCATGGGAATTGTAGATGGGATCAAAATGCTGCCACAGCTTTGAGTTTTCTAGAGAGCGTCTTTAGAGTCTCAGTATATCTCCACCTAAAGACCAATGTGTACTCAACAGACCAGCATCCGAAGCTGGCAATGTAAGCAGCACATTCCTTTAGACACAATGCCGGTTTGATCAGTGTCCAGTTTCCAGGACCATCTGCATCGGAAGCACTGGTGTTGGAAAGGCCACTGACAGTTTTGACTGTGAGTTTTCATTTGGACTTCATTTCTCTTCATCTCTCTGTGCAGTTTACTGACCCAACCAAGGACAGGTATGAAGTCCCTCATGAACATGTGCAACCCTTCAGTGGAAACGCTGCTTCTTCCTTGAACTACCGAGTTGAGGTCTTTAAACAACCATTTAGCATCAAAGTCACCAGAAAAAGCAACAACCGTGTGCTGTGAGTTTTGGAAACTTATTGTGTGGGTGGGAGTAGGAAGACAACGATAAGGGGAGGCATGTAAGCTGCTGATCTTACTGTGCTCCTTGTGTGTGTGTGTGTGTGTGTGTGTGTGTGTGTGTGTGTGTGTGAGTGTGTGTGAGTGTGTGTGAGTGTGTGTGAGTGTGTGTGAGTATATGTGTAAAGTCTTACTTCTTTTTACTTCCTTCTGTCTGAACATTTTCTTTCCCCCTTCTCCCATCTGTCTAATCATCTGAGCACCAATCAAGACTTATTAAATATCTATACCCATTTAAGTACAGTGCTTTGGCCATGTGGTAAAGTGTCTAAGCAATAGACATAAAGGATGTACCGCAATGGTACCTGGCCTAGAGACGTTTTGACTCTCGGTATCTATGGGAAAATGTCAGAGGAAGACTTGAGGAGGGACGATGGAGTCAGTGAGCGGTGAAGGGCCCTTGTCTAAGCAGCTGTGTCCATCTCTGCTCACCTCTCACTCCTGTCTGGGCTTCCCTCCGACATCTAGGCTTGACACAAGTATTGGGCCTCTCCTCTTCTCTGACCAGTTCCTGCAACTCTCAACCTACCTTCCAAGTGCTAATGTGTACGGTCTGGGAGAGCACGTGCACCAACGGTACAGGCATGACATGAACTGGAAGACCTGGCCCTTGTTTTCCAGGGACACAACCCCCAATAAGGTAATCTTCCAGGCCCCTTTCCTGTGACTATCACAACCTCAGCGGTCAGGGTCCCATGACATTGTAGTTTAGAGTGAGAATCCGGAGTGACACTGCTTGGTTTTGTGTGTTAGATCTTCTATTTATCAGCTATGTGATTCTGGGCAAGTTCTTACCCCTCCAGGTCTCCCTCATCTCTAAAATGTTCCTCATGTATAAAATGAGGGTAATGTAAGGTGCTTAGCTAGCTCAGTCAGTGGAGCATGAAACTTAAAGTCGGGGTTCACATACTCATCTTATAGGAGGTATTTAATGGCTGGGCACATGTAAAGAATCTAGAAGAATAAATGTCACATAGACCATGCTCAATAAATTTCCCATTGGTTTTTCTGGTAGCAGAGACAACATCTTATCCCTACTCTGTCTCATTTAAACACATGGGATAAATGGGAAAAAGTGCTGAGGGAGCAGCTTATGGGGAGCAGCTGGTGATGATGACCTAATCTGGAGCTCCAACCATGGACAGTGTGGACTTTCAAACTCTTAAAGCTCTGTAGGGATGCTGATTTATATTAAAACTCAATAGAGCACTTGTAGATAAGGTCAAGTTAGGATCAGGCAGGCCTCTTTGAGAAGACAGATTCTATGAACAATAGTTTCAAAATTCATATCCTTCCATATTTTAACAAAAATCAAGATATCCATATACATACTAATGAATGGTCAGAATTGGTATGTTATTTGAGAAAGCCCTAACTTACTTGCTAGCATCCTGAACTTGGCATCTTCATTGACCATGATGTGATGTTTAGACTAATTGCAAATATTTGCTTTTTAATTGTCTTCCCACAGGATGGAAATAACTTGTATGGTGTGCAGACCTTCTTCCTGTGCCTTGAAGACAATAGTGGATTATCCTTTGGGGTGTTTCTGATGAACAGCAATGCCATGGGTAAAGGACAAAGGAATATTCCTCAACAAACAAACACAGAACACATCACAGTCCCCTTTACAGCCCTGTGGTTAAAGGAGTGAATCCCTTTCACAACATTTAAAGCATGGCTGGCCTTCTTCTCTAGCCGTTACATCCTTGCATGGCTACCCATGGGATCTGTGTGCAAAGGACTCTCTCCTGACTTCTCCGCTCTTGAATCTGGCAGCCCCCTTTGGAATATTTGCTATTACAGACTTAGGATAACTCTTTCCATAATCTACCGAGACAGGATCTACCCATAGAGTGTAACTCCTTCTTAGCCCTACATTTAGTGATCTTGACTGGCTGTTCCAGTACAGTTTACCACAGGGGAAGAAGAGATGGAGCAACGTCTTCCAGGGTTGCTGGTGGCATAGGATATTGAGCATTACCCCCCTAATTGATTATCATTGGATTAAATCAGTATTATTCAAAGATGTGGTCCACACAGTCTTTCATGTCCATACAAAATGAGTATAGATATGAAGAGTAATCTATTGACTTAACATCTAAATGTCTGCATACGTATTTTCCCATAATTAACTTTATGCTCTTCTATAGACATATCAGTTTGCAATAATTTAAAGATTAAGTAAGCAAGAAAGATCTAATTTTTTTTTTTTTTTTTGGTTTTTCGAGACAGAGTTTCTCTGTGTACCTTTGGAGCCTATCCTGGCACTCGCTCTGGAGACCAGGCTGGCCTTGAACTCACAGAGATCCGCCTGCCTCTGCCTCCCGAGTGCTGGGATTAAAGGCGTGCGCTACCAACGCCCGGCCTAAGAAAAATCTAATTCCTCACCACAGTTTTTGTTTTGTTTTTGAGAGGAAATCTAGGTGATCCAAAAATCATTCTAGAATATAAACAGCCCAAGAACAGCAAAAAGAACACATTGACTGTCGAGTTTCAGGGTGTTTTAAAAGGAATCACAAAAATGAGTTGATTGAGACATAATGGGAAAGTTAGAAAGTCCTGGGTTCTCTGTGTGAATTAGTCCTATAAGACCAAAGAGTGCATTCAGAAGACTCTGAGGCCTTCTATCCCGAGAAAGAACAAGGCTAGGAGACAATTTCTGAGAAGGGTGATTGGAGCTTAATGGGATTTGGCGTTTCCAATATAGTCTCTGACCTGCTTTATTTCGACTCTTCTTACTGTGGCTAGCTGGGCTGTGTGATTACAGTAACAATGATGGATAGAATAAGGACAACCGGTTCAGAGGGATTTTTTTCTTTTACCCTCTTAGATTTAATTCTTGTGGGCTTGCAAACTAAATTGCAGCAAAGGATAGAGCTTATTTGAGTATTCAAAGAATATACAGGCAGATGTGCTCAGGGTTTAGTACCTGAAAGGGATGGTTGGAACTTGAAGCTTACACACCGTCTTATCAGTGGAAGGTAAGGCGAAGTGGGCATGAGCAGCGAACAAGCGTCAGGAAAGCAAAGTAAAACGGGCATGTGCAGAATTTCACCAGTTGGAAGGCAAGGTGAAATGGGCATGCGCAGGAGAACACGTGTCAAGAAAGATACATGGGCTCCAAGAACAGACGAAGGGGATGTGACATTCTCGTGACAGTACCCACTGATGTTCGTTGTCTCAGAGGAGACTAGCGTTGCTTCCATGGAATGGATTTGTGATGGCTGAGTTATTTTGAGGGGCTCTGATTTTGGTAAACAGGGGACTCAGTAACAAAGGCCATTGGCCTCAAGTTTTGTACTGCAGCGACTAATTCTGGCTTCATTTGTAAGCTTGGTTGCTCTTTGCCCAGAGCTTGGGTCATGGCCTCAGAGTTGGGACATTCTAGTTTCCTGCCATTGAAGTTTGTTGCTGAACAAATTCTTTAGCTCTCATACATGTAAGAATTTGTTTCTTTTTGTGCAACATGCGGGGATTAAAAATCATTTTAGTGAAGTTCAGGTAGTTAGTGTCTATGGCTATAAATTTTTGTAGTCATTTCAATAGAACAAACTTTAATTTTTATTTTTTTCTATTTTAATCTTTTAAGAGGTTACCCTTCAGCCCACCCCAGCAATCACATACCGCACCATTGGGGGAATTCTGGACTTCTATGTGTTCTTGGGGAACACACCCGAACAAGTTGTTCAAGAATATCTAGAGGTAAACATGAAACCATGATTATGGCTGAGGGAATCCTATGTACCGAAGGTTTAAGATATGTAAGCTTATCAAACATGTGTGAGCTAGACATACCCGAGATGATATATTTAAGACATAGAACAGACCTCATGTATGATTGGAAATTTCTTTATAAATTTTTTATATTATAAAAATGTCAGATGATATAAAGACATCAAAATGTACCCTTACTCTTAAAATGGAGATATAAGAGTTGACTAACATTATAACATTAATGAATCAAAAAACTGGAAAATTGAATGTATTTTGTGCCACAAACCAATGCATAAAAGAGACTTTATTTGAAAAAGTATTGTGTTGTGAGATGAATTAATTTGATAAAAGATGATTTTCGGTATGAGCATGAGAACCTGTGTTCAGATCCCCAGTAGTTTTGTAAAAAGCTGCATGTAGTAGTGAGCGCCTGCAATCTCACGCTGGGGAGACAGAGACAGGAGGATCTTTGGGGTTGCTTGCCAGTCGCTTACAAAGTGGAACCAATCATGGAACTACAAGGTCAATGTGAGCCCTTGCCTTAAAATTAAGGTAGAGAGCAATTAAGGAAGATACCCTACGTAGACCTCTGTCCTCCACATGCACCCCCCTCCCCTGTGCATGTATACACACACATTACTGACTTTCATTTCATGTGTTTACTTCAGCTCATTGGGCGGCCAGCTCTGCCTTCATACTGGGCACTTGGGTTTCAGCTCAGCCGGTATGACTATGGAAGCCTAGACAATATGAAAGCAGTTGTGGACAGGAACCGTGCAGTACAACTCCCTTACGTAAGTAATCTTAAACATGGTTCTCCAAAAAGAAATCCATGGAGGAACAGAAAAAGCTTCTACCTTCCTCATACTTCCCCTCTTTGGATTATTTCCCCTTTGGGTGATAAGATGACTCTTATGCACCTAGAATACTGAAAAGTTTGTCAGATCAATCACTTGTTTTCAAAGAACTGCAGTTCTTTTCAATAGGAAGTGACCCTTAATGACTAACAATACAGAGGAGGCAGAAGCCTGGTTTCGGACTATTTATTGTTCTATTAGTTTTATTTTCTTGTGTTCTGTTTATTCAGTTTTCTTATGTTTATTGTATTGACTGCATTTTTACAGAACTCAATCTAATTCTTTCTTTAGCCCACATTTTAGCTTATGCTTCTCCATGTAGGTTTATTACCTTATATATAATCTTGGTTGGATTACTTTGACTCAAAGATATAACCGCAGAGATTGAGTATAGAAGTGATATGAGTTCTCCAAGATCCTGACACCAGCTCGATTCTCCGGTTTTGTGTCAGATGATGTATAGTACAGGTCTTCCATCTCCCAACCCCTTACCACTGAATAAATTTTAGCAGATATTTTGAGAGGATATTGAAGAAGAGGAGAGGAGATAATTCTAGATCCCAAAGAGTTAGGAGTTAGAAAACACAGAGGGGGGAGGAGAGGGAGAGAGAGAGAGAGAGAGAGAGAGAGAGAGAGGGAACTTATTCAGGACCCAGTAATCTAAACTGGGTTTTATTGTTTTTTGCACAGGTACAGATAAGAAACTGAAGCTAATTAGGGAAGTAGCTTCATCATCACCACTTAGCTTTTTGGTGACAGAATTCATAGTTAAGGAGATTTATAAAATCCAGTGACAGGTTGAGGTGTATTTGTTTGCAGTGGTGTTTTGGTTGCTGTTTACTAGTCAGTGAACAGGATTTGTCTTCTCGAACGCACACTGTGATCATTTTGTATTTAAAATAGAATTTCAGTAGCTTTTGGATTTGGGAAGAAGATGTAAAAATATAGCATGTGAAAGAGTTGATATTTAAAAAGCACAGGATGACTAGGGGAAGGCAGTATTATGAGAGCTGTGCAGGACATTTGGGTAGGTGACTCCAGTCTTTGTTTTGGTCAAAGACCTGCTGGCCTCTCTTGTCTTCTAGGCCTCAGGGACTATGGCTCTTGGGGGTGAGAGGGACTAACAGAAACAGCAGAGGCAGAACTGAGGTGAAGAAAAATAAGCACAGCCATCAGGATAATGAGAATGCCCTCTTAAGCCTGCTTCAGGGGATTCTTGACTTCCCTCAGAACTCCATTTTTAACCCTAGTTAAACCACAAACCCCATTTAGTAGTAGATCACCAGTTCAGCTCGCTAGCACCACTGTGGCTCTCTGTTCTGTATGGCTCTCCTTACACGCAGGTAGACATTTCCTTCATGGATCATCTGGGGAATGGGGGAATAGGACTCACTGGTGCACGGTGTTAAGATTGAAAGGAAATACTGAGAAATGGAACTGAAAGTAATTCAGAGTTACATATGGGCGTCTCTTCTTTCACGTTCAAGAATGATGCATGGCATACACCTTGTACTCAAATGTTTCCTGCTTTGAGTGGCTAATTTTGAATATTTCTATTATATTGGGGGCTGTAATGGAAAATGAGGTGTCAAGAAGACATAAGAAGGGGAAATTTAAAAAATATCTCTAGAATAATCCTGCTCTCTCAGCCTCTTCATTCATTACACTGGCACAGTATAAACTTTGTCCCAGTGCCACTATTTCCATATAAAACTAGGAAGGAATAAACACAGATGAATTGTGGCAAAGGTAACCAAAGCAGTTATTAGGATGGTGAAATGAGGAAGAAGGGAGAAGAAATATTTCCTTCCCGTCTTGTGCATGGGGTGAGTTTTATTTGATAGCCCCAGTTATTTGTCCTAAACTGTGTATTAATCTGATTGCAGGGGTGGGGTTGAGCCTTAGGATAATGAGGGCATTTGTTTTTCAAATTGCTCTGGGGAAGATGTATTTGGATAACTGATAGCACTGCCTTTAGATTCCAGCACAGGAGTTGGTTTTCATCTTGAATACTAAAGGTGATAATTTGTTGATTCTGTTTGACAGGGAAATTCACATGTGCTAAACTGTGGATGCTTGTATTTTTTCAGGATGTTCAGCATGCTGATATTGATTATATGGATCAGAGGAAGGATTTCACTTATGACCCAGTGAAGTTTTCAGGCTTCCCGGAGTTTGCTGAGGACTTACACCTTAATAGGCAGAAACTTATTATCATTTTGGTATGTGCTTCCCCTTTTCCTCCGAAATCAGGTGGTCGTCCCCTTCTCTCTACTTGGCCTCCAATGAAATGAAAATACTTTAATATTAGCCTTCAGTAGTTACATTTGAATGTGCATGTTTTATTGGACATTTTTATTGAAGTTCAGCCTTTAGCTTAAAGTAAATTTTTTTTTTCATTGTGATTTCCTTTTTCTTAGGATCCGGCCATTTCTAACAACTCTTTCCCAGATGATCCCTATGACCCATATGATAAAGGTTCAGCAATGAATATCTGGGTGAATAGTTCTGATGGCATAAACCCACTCATTGGAGAGGTAATTTAATGGAGAAACTGTGGCTCTGGCTCTGCCTGGGTTGTGAGTGTGTGTGGATAAGTATGTGGTTGTCTAGTGCATCTTCAAAGGACTTGGATGCTGAGGCCAAACTTTTCCTCGCCTTTTCAAACCCAAAACTCTCTACTCCTGCCAGATCCCAGTCAGTGGCAACTCACTCACTGGGTATTCATTTCTTTACTCCGTCCCCTCTTGCCCCTGCACTCCTGCTGCTTCTCACATTGACCCTGCTTGGAAACTGGCACTGGTCACTGCCTACTGGGGAGATCAGTTGAAATGGGTCATGCCATTCTTGACTCAGTTTCTTGTCAACAAGTAATATACTGAATTTTTACTGAAATCTTCTATTGTCTTGTTTTTCTGCTTAATTTTAATATCCATAATAATCCTTCAAAATACAGTGTCTGAGGGAATTAGATAAAGAATAGAGAAAAATAAGTCATGTTAGAATCCACAGATTGTAATGGGTCAATTGAAATTCAAACAAAATATATATTTCCATTTTCAACTCTTAGACATGAAAGTAGAAGAAGCAAGATGGAAATGTGAACCAGAATTGAAGACTAGCAAATCAGACAATGCTTTTTATCCTTGCATTTACTCATTTAAGTAACCAACCAACATTTTTAAAGTTAATTTTCTCAGATGGCTTTTAATTGCAATTTAGAGTGATTGAGTCCCAATATTCTAAGTTAATAAAAAACTTAATTCTAAGTTATTTACTCTACACTGAGAAGACTTGTGGCTTCTACCTCTGGTGTCTCCATGATCATGTTAGGAATTCCTACATAAAGTTCTTTGCTTGTTCTACATTCACTTAAGTTATTATCAGCGTTCTCCCTTTTTGTCCCCCACAGGTCTGGCCTGGAATAACTGTGTTTCCTGATTACACCAATCCCAACTGTGCTGTTTGGTGGGCAGAGGAAATTAATAGTTTCCACAATAAAGTGAAATTTGATGGAATTTGGATTGTGAGTTGTTAACACTTTTATTCATAGAGACATTCACAGAGTTTATATCTGGTTATGTCTTTGAGCCATGAAGTACAGAAAGAAAGTAAAAGCAAAGAGTCACATAGTCCTTATCTTGTCACAAAGCACATGGATTGTTCAGTTGTCAACTTGAGGCTCTTTTATTTAGACACGATGACAGATTCATCAGAACCAAAGTGCTCAGGTACAAAGTAACTTCTGTGTTAAAGAGCAATGTCTCGTAAAATGTCAAATGAATATGAACATAAAACGCAGCTGATGTTGAAGGAAATTTAGGCCTAGAGTTGAAATTTTGTAGAAGACCCATAGAAAATTCAACTAATACAATCAGCTAAAAGGACACAGCAAAAATTCTGTAAAAAGATATCTACAATTACCACTTTGCTACCCACCCTTCCAGAACTTCAATTTCACAGCTCTGGTGCATGGATATACTGTCTCTCTTCTCTATATATACATGTATATTTATGTCTGTATCTATATGTAGGTCATATTTAGGCATATAATACTATAGGTTGCAATATATGACAGAAAATAAACAGAAACTTTTTGGCTAATATATTTGGGAATTGTTTACTTTTAGTGATGATAGACATGCATCGTTTTGAAGCTATTCTAAGAACTTACTCTGTGAAATTTTTAGTGAGTAGAGAAGACAGGAACATATATGTCTACCATATCCATGGGACACTCTTAAAAAGAAATATCTAGAGTAATCTATCTGATTTTCCAGAAACAAAAAATACCACCAGTATATAAACGTGATATGCTACTATTCCTAATAGATTTTGCTCTCTGTCTGATATGTAGGATATGAACGAAGTCTCCAACTTTGTTGATGGCTCAGTTTCAGGATGTTCCACAAATGACCTCAATTATCCTCCTTTCACACCAAGTAAGTCATTGTGGTCAGTCTGACTGATGTGTCAAGATGCACGGGAAATTTTAAATTTACCAGGATAGACCTGAGTCACTGGATAAAGGGGTCTGTACATAATTAATGTTCACAACATAAAGAAAACCAGGAAAGAAACAGTATATGGTCCATGGTTCTCAGAAGAGACATACATTCTCAGTGGATAATCTAGTCCCATGCCAACTCCATGCTGCTGTAAGGAAAATTCCAAAACACATACGATGCAGAGACCCGTGATTAGTCAGTGCCTCTCTCAAGGTGAACCTCATAGGCTAGAGCTCTCAAAAGAAACCAGATGGGTAATCTTGACCTTCAGGTGAGGGAAACACCTGGTGCTGACCTCGGCTTGAAGGATGGGCATGCACCATATAGTCATGAACCCCAGCCTCTGAGGATATGGTTATGGAACCACAGTATTAATTGTTATTTGAAGAAAGATACAGAGCCAAGAAGAAAGTTGTATCTTCATTAAGAAAGGAACAAAATCCCAAGATTATAATACTCAGCATCACTTCAGTCTAAAGGCAAAGGAGGAACTTGAGGCTAATGTAGGTGAAAATCAAATGTTGAAGGGGTTTGATGGGAGGCCAAACAGTTCTAACTTAATTCTTTCTATGATGGAAGCTATTTATAGTTTTTGTTTTTGTTTTTAGAGGGCTGTAGGATTGTTGACTGGTTTTAGAAGTATTTATCTGGAATTGACATGTAGAATGAATTTAAAAATAGGTTAGAAGTAAATAAGATATTTTAGTAAATAGAATACACAGTTCATTTCTGTGGGAACAGTGGTGGTATAATAGGAACAGAGGCTATGTGAATGAAACTAAGACTAGGAACCACTCTATGCAATATATGGTCAAGAGGGAAAAAGGAGTCAGAAGTGAAATTACACTTTCATCCAATGCTTCTTATTTTGAGCCACTTACATTGGTTTGAAAAATTCAGATTGAAATTCTGGCTGAACTAGATTCTCTTCTCTGCCTCTGAAAATCAGGGCTGTGTGGGTGACACAGTATATTTTTTTGTGTTGGAAAAACTACATTAACTACATGGTCTTCTGATGATAGGAACACAGTATGTCTGTTTTCAGAATGGGTACAATAAATACCTGCCCAGCACAGCCATCTTTGCAGGTTGTATGGCAATTAAAAAGTAAGAATTTAGCATGTAAGGCTTTTCATGATTGGCTGTTTTGTTGTTGTTGCAGAGATCCTGGATGGGCACTTGTTCTCTAAGACTCTCTGCATGGATGCTGTTCAGTACTGGGGCAGGCAGTATGACGTCCACAGTCTGTATGGCTACTCCATGGCCATTGCCACATCAGAGTGAGTCCTTATTATTATACGCTTATATGTGATCAAATTATGGATCTGAGAGTGGCTAGGTGACACATATATAGTATCTGTTAAAAGTCAAAATAAAAAGTAAACTGGGGGTCCCTGGGAAGATGATTCAGAGGTAAGAAGACGTACTGCACTCCTAGAGGGCCTGAATTTGCTTCCCAGCCCCCTGTGGGTGGCTCACACCTTCCTGTAACTACAGTTCTGGGGAATCAGACACCCTCTTCTGGTCTTCTCTGGCACCTGCACTTGGTGTGCATATACCCAATGTGCTCAGGCACACATTCATATACTCACAGATGACACAGTATTTAAAACATATGGTCTTCATTGTTGAGTGAATAAAGAAACCAGCATGCAGAGAATAGGAAATCTAGTATTTGCAGAATATATAAAATAAATTAAAAAACCAGTAAATGAATGAACAGAAAATCAGAAGAAAGCTGTTAAGAAATTTATCCAAGATAAAATACCTAAAGTACTACGAAGTAAAATTTAGTCACTTCTCCTTATACATTTTATCTTTCTACATAGTGTAAAAGTGAAGGATAGAGAGGGTTAAGTAACCTGTATATATCTATGGGCCCAGCGGACTTCTACTGTGTTCTGTTTACCTTTGTGTCAAGTTAAATTCTACAATGATGAAAATGTAATAATAATTTGTTCTTGCTGTAACAGTGACAGCAAGAAACAAGACCAAAAGCATATTCACCGATGAACCAAATAACAGGTGTAATTTTAGCCATTTTGAGAGAAATGGAAAAGTTCTACTATAAATTTTTTTTTTGGTGCAGGAGTAGCGCTTTACCTACTAGGCAAGTGCTGTATCACTGAGCTACAAATCCAACCTTGCAAACATTTTTAGTTATGTGTACACATGCAGACTTTTAACTTAAAATTATTTAATTATTTAGTTTCAAAAATACACACTTTTATATTTAATTTAAAAGCATTTTCTCATAAAATTATTACCAATATGTTTTTTTACATAAAACTTTCAAGAGCCATGTTGACAAGTCCACTTTTTTTTGTTTGTTTGTTTCTGACTTCTTGTGACACAAAGACTAACATATGTTTACTATGTCAAGTTTCACTTTTGTTTTCTAAAATTCATAAGCCTCTAGTTTTTAACCTTTCCAAGGGTGCTTTTGGAATTGTTGGAAATTAAGAGGCTGATACTATGTGTGAAACAAAGCTAAGTAAAACACGACTGCAAGTTGAGGTATAGACTGTTTCTAACAGCTCCCCTAACCCTTTTTGGATAAAAGGAGTGGAGAGGAATGAGACGCTTGTTTTTTATATTCTTACTTTTGTTGTTCTGAGGCCAGCTGACCTCCTCACTGATCCCTGAATATCTGTCCCTCCCCAGAGCCGTGAAGGCTACATTTCCAGAGAAGAGAAGCTTCATCATCACACGGTCCACCTTTGCGGGATCTGGCAAGTTTGCAGCCCACTGGTTAGGAGACAACTCGGCCACCTGGGAGGACCTTCAGTGGTCTGTTCCAGGCATGCTTGAGTTCAACCTTTTCGGCATCCCAATGGTGAGTCTCTGTCCCAAGTCTCTTACGACATACAACCCCCATGAAGTTTCCTTCTGATACGTTTTCATACTATAAACCCTGTCCTTGCCCAGGGCTTTAATGTCCATTCTCCATCACCATTACTGTGGCTCTGGTACCCCTAGCATCATTGTCTGAACTGCCTGGTGTAAATAGAAAGTGCAATCCTGATAGCTCCTGAAATATTCCTCAGGTGTAACATAGAAAAAGCGCACCAGTCCTCTTGTCTACATCAGATGCGTGCCAACGTGGAACCCACCTGGGCAACTGTTCCCCAGATGCAGAAACAGCCCTGCAGCACTGGATAGACTTTTCACTGCTCAGTCAAATGCAACAGACACATTCATTGAGCTCTTACTATGTTCACAGGGCTAAATTAAGTATGAATGGCATACAGTTAAAAAAAATATGAAGACAAGTAGACAAATAATTATGGCAAGCTGGGATAAAAAAACTCATAGGGTTGTACATATTAATCATTATGACAGGTTCTTAGAAAAAATCTTTATTAATTTGATATTATAAGGGACAGAGAGAGTCTGGGAGGAAGCCAAAGACTCTGCAGAAAAGATGGTGCTTAAGTTGAGCTGTGGAAACTGGCTAATGAGGGGAGAAGCTCATTCTAAGACCATGGAGTGTGAAGGGGGTGACAGATGAGCCCCTAAGATCAGTGTGGAGAACTGGAGCGTTGGGGGCGCTATCTGAAGGGGAGATTGGAACCAGGTTTAAAGGGTTGATAGGAGGGATGGAGAGGAAGCTGTAGAGAGCTTGAGGAAGAGAGTGGCATGGTCAGAGTGGGGCTTCAGGAAAGTATTCGGTACAGTATTATTGGTACTGCCAGCTACTGTCCACAACAGGTGATGGTGCTCAAGCTCCGTTCAACGCAATGAAAAGGCTGTGGCAGGAAAGGAGGCCCCTAGCAGTGGTGCGGACACAGGCTCCGTGCTGATTCTGACCACACCCCATTAGGCTTCTGGGTAAAAGATTTGGACAAAGTTCAGTTAGGAACTTCCCGGTAGAAAGCGACAGCAGGGGGTGGAAATGTGATAATATGCTGTCCACATGTCTTTATAGGTAGGGGCTGACATATGTGGCTTTGCCTTGAACACGACTGAGGAGCTCTGCAGGCGGTGGATGCAGCTGGGGGCATTTTATCCATTTTCCCGGAATCACAATGGCCAGGGCTACAAGGTAAATCAGCTGGCAAGTGCAGTGGGTGTGCATTAGGACTGGATCTGTTTGTATTCCCAGCATGAAATCTGCTGAGCCAGCTTAATGATATAAAATACTTCATGTATGATGATTTGGGCCCTGCTTGCCATTAATGAGGACCTGTTGATCTGTTGACCATAAAATGTCCCAATGTCTCCACGGGGGTGGGCCTACGCCCTATCCCAAAGGATATGGTAGACTCTGATGACCCCCTATGGAAGGCCTCACCATCCAGGGGGAGCAGAAAGGATATGTGATAGGTAGGGTTTTAGTTGGGAGGGGGGAGGGGAGGAGGGGGGGGAGAAGGGAACTGAGGTTGTCATGTAAATCAATCTTGTTTCTAATTCAAATTAAAAAAAATCTGAAAAAAAAGGAAGTTTCAGAAAAAAAAGTCCCAATGTCTCAATACGCACGCACGCACGCACTCACGCACGCACGCACGCACTGGTTGCTCCTTTTTGTGTGGATGGCTTCCTTGTGTTCAGATTCTGGAGACACGTATTTAAATAAGGACATTAAGAGTCAGCCCATTTATAATGCACAGCTCAATATTTAAGCAAAGGGTTCAGAATTCAAGATTCTACTTGGGTGCGGTGACACAGCCCTGTGATCCGAGATGTTTGGGAGGTGGAGTCCGGAGGATCGGGAGTTAAATACTTGCCTGGGATACCTAGCAAACTTGTCTTAAAACTTTCCTAGTTGGGAAGTGCAGATAGATGCCTTGCTCTGTAGAATGCATCAAGGGGTCTTACAGCAGCAGCAAGCAGGAAGCTTGCCTTCCCAAGGCAGCTGACAATGACCATCACACCATTAAAACAAACGTGGAAATCTCAGAAATGGTGAGATAAAAGTGGAAATGATGGGGCTCCAAGAGGTTTATAAACTTGTGTGCACTCTGCCTGCATTGCTTGTTTTTGTAATGAGAACCAAGATGAGTAAAAATTTCAAAATTATTTAAGATAGCCTCTCAACAGGGCAGTTCTAACATGTGAATGAGACAGGGTGAGTTGTAAGTTGCAATGGCAACTTACTTGATGTCATGATTCAACCCTCCAGACACGCTACTCAGAGGCAATGTGCAACCGGGGGCCCAGATCACGTGTCATGAAGCCCTGGGTTATGCTGCATGGTATCTGAGATCCTCCTGGGTGTGCACAGCGTTCCCATAGCCAAGGCACAACTGCAAACTTTCCTTCCTTTCAGGACCAGGATCCGGCCTCTTTTGGAGCAGATTCCTTGCTCTTGAATTCGTCTAGGCACTACCTTAACATCCGATACACTCTGCTGCCTTACCTCTACACTCTTTTATACCACGCCCACAGCCGGGGAGACACCGTGGCTAGGCCCCTTCTGCATGAGTAAGTCCTCCCAATGTTCTGTTAATGCAAACTTGGTGATGTGGATTAGGTATAATAGCAGAGTAAAATATAAAGCCACCCAAGCAAGGTATTCAGGGGTGTTTGTGTGTGTGCAAGTATGGGCCTGTGCTGTAGATCAGTCCCAAGGGTTTGCATATACTGGAAAAGAAATCTACCACTTACCAATTCTCTTTAGCTTAATTGGAAAGATCTGTAAGGAGGCTTTGATGGTCTCTGTAGAACAAATACATATTATGACGCTAGAGTTTATGTACTTTGCTGTGTCTCTAGGAATGTGTCTACAATTTGAAAACAAGCAAGAATCTCATAAATGATCCCATAAATCCCATTATTCTTCACTGCCAGCCAGTTGGAATCTCTGATTTAACTCAAGAGGCAGTCTCTTGGGAGCCTTTCCTTGTTACAATAATGCTAACTGTCATGTATGGCAGATGAAAAACTTAGAGACATATACATGCACTTATAATCACTTCTGGGGTAAAATTTTTACCTCCCAGAATCACTTGTTTAAAAGCAGATATCCTAAAATAGAAAAACTTAAAATTCTGTATTTTCTGATGTTTTCTTTTTTTGATCTTATGCAGTTTTTGTTTTGTTTGTATTTTTGCTGTGCTTGTGGGAGGGGGGTGAGACTGACAAGTGAACCTCAAGCTTTGCACCTGGTCTGGAAGTACTTTGCCCTAAGCCTTACAGCCAATCCTTCTTAACACTTTTTCCTTTTTGGTTCTCTTGAGACAGGGTTTCTCTGTGTAGTCCTGACTGTACTGGAACCCACTCTGTTTACCAGGCTGACCTTGAACTTATAGAGATCTGCCTGTCTCTACCTGCCAAGTGCTGAGACTAAAGGCGTGTGCCACCACTTTTTATTTTGAGATGGTCTATTAAATCTCGTTGGGGGCCTGAAACTTTCTCTGGAGTTCAGGCAGGACTTGACGCTATGATCTCCCTGACATCCACATAACTGGGATTGCTGGCATTGTGCCACTAGGTCCAGCTCCAGATCTTTCTTGACAATAAGCTAACATCATAAAATTCATAGGTTATTTTATTTATTTTCTGAAGGGAGACACAGCAAACAACGGTATAGCCTGAGGCCAGCCTAGCATAGATACTGGAATAGGAACTCCTGTGGGAGAAGAACAGGAAGGAACGTGGGTTGGGGACTCAGATCTACATGGGTTGGGAGGAGGAGGGGCAGAGTAGGTATCACACAGTGATTGTGGGTGTTTTCCAGGTAGTGTATATGCTTTGGTTAGATTGTGGGAGAGATTCCAGGAGCACTGGCTCATGTCCGTGGGACCTATCTCTTTGCTATCTAGGTTCTATAAGGACAACAATACTTGGGACATAGACCGGCAGTTTCTGTGGGGACCAGGCCTCCTCATCACTCCTGTTCTGGAAGAGGCAAGTGTTTTTGCAGACACAGGCAGGCACTAGGCTGCCTCTGCTACTGCTCACTACCCCCCAAAGCATTTCTCCCCTCTGTTGTAAAAATCTGTGGCTGAGCCACTAGGGAAGAGTTCCCAGGACATTTTGTTTGCAGCATATCTGATTTATGTTTTCTTCTTTAGAGGCCTCTTTTTCTAGACAAGTTGTCAACCAGTGTAAAAACACCAACTGGTCACTTAGATTTGGGAATGAGCCTCTGGCTTGTCAGGTCATTATAGCCGACTATTATTGCTCTGAGTTGTGGAGCCAGGATGAAACAAAGACCAGTACTCACTCTAAAGTCAAAGTGATCAGGGTTGGCAATCTTTGCCAGTCTGGTGAGAATGCTGATCCGGGAGAGTTATTGTGTAGGCTTCCCAATTTCAAAGTAGGAATTATAACAGCATCTAATGTATGAGCTACAGAGATAATTTAATAATTCACAGAAAACCAGAATTGCCCCCACAGTGTATTTCATCATCATTTGTATTATTTATAATTACAGTCCATCCATTTGTGATACCCCTGCCCCAGACTGTCAGGCTATAGTTTCCCTTATCTGTACTAGGAGAAAGGCATAGTTTAATAGCAGAGAAAACAAGACTATGCCTACCTTCTCTGAACATGGCTATGCTAAGACATGTATTTCGTGCCCTCAGAGGCTGAGTCATGAGAGTAATTTTTTAAATTTAATTTTAGGGTAAAGGGACAGGGAATACGACAGTGAAGGCATATCTGCCTGATGCCATCTGGTATGACTATGAGACGGTAAGTAGCTTTTTTCTTTTTTCTCAAGACTACGGCTGCATCTGCATAGAGGGCTGCCTCTCTGGAACTGAGAGCTATAATTCTTTCACAGAGGATGGCTTCTGAGTTGTTTTCCCAGCACAGTTTGGGTAGAGCAAGCCTGTAACTTAACACAGGTGCACCTTTGTTCAGCAATAAGAAAAAGACGGAAAGGACTTCTTGTGAGCAAGCATTAGAGCCTCATGGGCGATTGGAGCTTGGCCAGGAATCAGCCCAGAAGTATCAGTTCATATAAGCGACATCCAACAGGCACAGCCTGGCAAAGGTGTTTTCCAAACCCTGAGCTGACCTACATTTTTAGCTTCTTTTGTTCGATTGTCTGGGAATAGTGTAATCCACTAAATGGAAAAGAGATGGCACTGTAAAGAACTCAGCGTGATGGTGGTCCGACAAGGTCCACACACTGTGGGGCCAATGTGTTTTGTGTATCTCCCTGCCTTAGGGGGCGCAAGTGACATGGAGAAAGCAAAGCATTGACATGGAACTTCCTGGAGATAAAATTGGACTTCACCTTCGAGGAGGCTACATCTTCCCCACACAACAGCCAGACACAACCACAGCAGACAGGTACAGCATGGGTGTCTTTAAGGGGGTGCATGGCTGGCAAAGGGGAGCATTCCTGGGATAGTCTGCTGACCAGACTATGAGTGGGAAAGGTTCTAGAGTGAGTTATGTCCCCTTGGACTTCACTCGAGCTTTCCTCTGGAAGTTTATAACCTAGAGCTGTACCCTGATGGATTTTGAGAGCTCTTAATTCACTCCCTCCCCAACACTCTGAATGTGTCAGAACAGGGTGATAGCTAGAATGCCCAGCCTTCCTGGTTTCCCTAGGCATGTTCAGCTTTGTCACTAAAAGCCTTATGTCTTAGGAAGACTATTCTGGGGAAGTGTGGTCACATGGTCACCTCCCTGCCTTGACCTGGGTGTCTATCAGTGGCTCAAATTGGCTCAAATTCTCATTACAACCTTCACCTCTTATAATGTTCGCCCTCGTTTCCATTCCTCCCACCGAGCTATTTCCATTTTGTGATTAATGCAAACCTAGCTGTTAGGTAAAGGCTAACAACTGAACTGTCACATATGCCTGCTGGGAGAGAGAAAATCAATTTTCTCTAGTGGAGTGACACAGGGCATATCAGCCACTCCAGGACAGCCTCATGTTCAGGAGCAGTTCACCAATATATGATGGGCTCTAGGTTTTTTTTGTCTTGTTTTGTGTGTGTGCTTTTATTTGGTTACAGTTTGGTGTTTCTTTTTTTGGGGGGGGGGCTGATGGTGTTTTTATTTTGTTTCCCTGGCTTTGGGAGATTTTGTTGTTGTTGTACTGGGGTTTTGTTAGTTTTTGAGAAAGAATTTAAAGTTGGGTGGGTATGGGAGAGGAACTGGAAGAACTTTGGAAAGGGGAAGAATATGATTAAAGTACATTTAAATTTTAAAGTTGTCTCAAGTTACACACACACACACACACACACACACACACACACACACACAGACACACATACCCACACAGACACACAGACACACACAGACACACACAGACACACACAGACACAGACACACCCACATACCCACACACACACACACATACCCACACAGACACACAGAGACACATACAGACACCACACACACACACACACACACACACAGACACCCACATACCCACACAGACACACAGACACACACAGACCCACACAGACACACACAGACACACAGACACAGACACAGACACACCCCCATACCCCCCCCACACACACAGGCACACACACACACACAGACACAGACACAGACACACCCCCATACCCCCCCCACACACACAGGCACACACACACACACAGACACAGACACACACACACCCACACCCACACCCACACACACACACACACACACACACTCAGCCACCCACTAATGTCACAGATTTTTCCTTTATGTGACATTGACTCCAGTTGTAGTCCCAGACTGCACTCCAATGAAGAGATGCATGCTTCTGTCATGTGTCCCTGAAAATATTAGATTATTTGATTTTAATATCCCGTGAGTTCTCAGAATTCTGGGAAGCTGTATTTTCATTAGACTGATTTTAATATCCTGTGAGTTCTCAGAATTCTGGGAAGCTGTATTTTCATTAGACTCCATTTATTACTCTAAAATTTCAAATTATTGACTTTCTGTGAAGATAAATACAAAGACTTCTGGTTTCTCTTTCTCTAATTGCTCACCACGGGGCTGTGTTGCCCAAGCCTTCCCTTCCTGGGCTGAGACTGTTGGCTGGTCAATGCCCTGCTTGAAACCAGGGCTTTGTGGATGGTGTTTAGGGACCTGACTTCTCATCGCTTGGAGCAGCAGTTTTCCTGTAGTGCCCTCAGAATTCTGGTCAGCCATGGCCAAAGCATGCTGTTTGTGGCCCCCAGCAGTCACCTGTTTGGCTGCATTTAGGCTTCTCACACGTTACCCTTTGCAAAAGGCTATGCATGTTTGAAAAATGCTTTATTTCAAGCTACATCCCCTCTCCATTTCCAGCTGTGTTCTCAAAGGTCCAAGCTAAACTCAGGTATTCTCTCCAATCCTTCCAGCCGAGTGACTGCTCCCACTTCCTAATTCCTGGTGATAGATACGCTTTTTTTTTTTTTCAAGACAAAATGGCAAGAAATCGAATAAGGCAAAGTGGCCATTCTATATATGACCCTATTGCGTATTTTTGCTTCCTCAGAAAAAACTGCCTTATGAGGGAAAAATGTGTTTTTTTTTTATAGCAATTAACACTTCTCAGGGCATGAACTCTAAACACCTACCCATAGCACCATTGTGGAAGATTTCTCCCTCTTCTAATAATCTGTCTTTGAAATGATGTTTTCAGCCACATTTTTAAAACTATAGCTATTGATTCTGCTTGCACACTCCCACCTCCCTCACAGGTTCTTATTGCCAAGCTTTAGCGTATTTTCATCCCCTGTGAGCTACTGGTACTAACTAGAGAGAGGAGGGCCTGCCAATCTAGCCTTTGTATTCGAAGGAGAACAGAGCATCTGCTGCTAGTCCCCTTTCCCAGTGGAAATTTGATGCCAATGTTTGGCAAAATTTTTGAGCCCTAAGGATTTGGGTCTTGTGCTCCTGTTCCCCACAGCCGGAAGAACCCTCTTGGTCTGATCATTGCGCTGGATGAGAACAAAGAAGCCCGAGGAGAACTGTTCTGGGATGATGGAGAGACAAAGGGTGAGTGCTGTGAGAGGGCTTTGCCACTGCACACCTGCATGTCTCACTCTGTGCCTTCACCCCTGCTGACCATTCAGCTTTGGGTGAAATACCACAAGCGTCCTAGAGCATCCTCCCAGAGAAAACATGTGTTTGTGTATGCAGTGGTCAGAGGTCATGACCGATGAGCCATGGATGGAGGAGGGCAAGCATCTCTCTGACCCTGTCTCTGTCTCCATCTCTGTCTCTATTTCTCGATTCACTCCATGGTCCATCTTGTCTAACAGGCTCCCATTTCTTTGTTAAAAGACACATTTTCAAGACCATTGCTATAATTCACCTTCATTGTAAATATGCTCCCCCCACCCCCACCCTGAGTCCCTGGGGGAAAACTGTTCACACACCAGGTGAAGGAGGCAGCAAGCACACACATTCCTGATTGCGTGCATCTAACATTAGCACATGGGCTTTCTTTTTTGTTTCTTTCTTTTCCTTATTTCCACTGCACTAACAGTTCTCATGACTTTACCTTGGGGAAACACATTCCCATCAGATGACAGCCTCGGGAACACTGCAAAGGATCCTTTCACAGTTTGTAGCATTAAGGAGAAGACAAGTATGTGGCCATGCAGACTCTGCACACATACAGGCATTGTGAAATGGTTACCATAATATCGATGCTTCCATCACCACTGATGGCTGCATTGGCTCTCCAGAACTTGCTCTTATGGTTCATAGTAGTTGAACAGATTTTCCCCATTTACCCTTCTTCCTGGTCCTGAATTCTCCTGTTCCTTCCTCTGTTTATATGAGCATGGCTATTTAGCCCCTGTGTAAGCAGAGTACATACATTGCTTCTTCTTTGCTGCTTTACCTGCTTCTCCTAGTGGAGCACGATCCAGACTCATCTCAGCTTTAACAATGCGGGGTTTCCTTCTATTTAATACTAAAGGATACTCCATTGCATAATTCACTGTAATTCTCTTGTTCATTTGTCTGCTAATAGATATGTTTGTTGTTTCCCCATCTTAGCTAAAGTGAAAAAATGGACAACATACACAACAACAACCTCTTAGGAGGAAATATAGGGGAAAGCTTCTTCCATATTGGGCATGGTGTTGTGATTTTAAGCATAACACCAAAAACAAAGGCAACAAAAGTATAAAATAAATTTGCATAGGCATTATGGAGAACAGTGTAGACACTTCTTCACATGTTGAAAATAGAACTACCATCTAGCACAGAATTTCCGTGTCTTGGTGTTTACCTTCCAAAAGAAATGAAAACAGTATGCCACAGAGATGCTGAACCTCTCCTATTCACTGTGGCATTGTCTGTGCTAGTGAACGGCCAGAAGCAGCCAAATCTACCTGACAAATGAATGAATAAAGAAGTTGTTCTTTTCTTCAGTCATGAAAAGAAAGAGGAGCCAGTTTTTAGGAGAGGAAGGTGAAGCTCAGCTTCTGTGGTTGCCAGGCCAGTCTGACATCTCTTTCTTCTTTCAGATACTGTGACCAAGAACACTTACATTTTCAGTGAATTTTCTGTCACCCAAGTGAGTGCATATTTTTATGAATATTGTATGGGATTTTGTCTGAAGATGTCTGTATGTGTTCAGCTATATGCATGTAACTGTATTTATTTAAATATCAGCATTTATGTGGATGAATACATTGCTTTTTATGACTTAATTCATAATAATTACATCAGCTATATTTATTGAAAACAGTCAACAGTCTGTAAAAGACAATTCTATAAAGTATCACTCTGTTTCCTCACTCTCTCTATGGGCATTGTAAAAATAAATTCGTACTCCCATTAGCATGCACCAGCAAAGAAAATTGATAGTCCTTTAGAGCAGGTCAAGGGTGGAGTATAGACTCCACCCTTGCAGTGTTTGTGGGCTTAAGGAATCTACATGTTCGCTATTTGTTCATAATTATGCTTGATGTGTTTCAGAACCATTTGAATGTGACAATTTCAAGTGCAAGCTACAAGGATCCCAATAACTTAGAATTCCAGGAAATTAAAATCCTTGGGACACAGGCAATTTACAATGTTAAAGTGAAACAGAATGGTGTCCTTAGTTCAATGTCTCCTCAAATCACTTACAATTCAAACCTGAAGGTAAGAATTCATTTTGTGAGGGACACTTTCACAAATCTCCATGGGATCTTGATATCACTTCTTGCTAAGATGACATGGGTTGTTGAAGGACCAGAGTACATCTGAAACCTGATGGTGACGTCAGAGTATGAAGGAGGAAGGTAAAAATGGAGAGATAGTTTGAGGCACCATGACTCCAGTTTTCCCACCCTCCAGTTTTCTTCACTCTCAGTGTTTGGTTTTCTCTGACTGGATGTGGGGACAAGATCTGAGGGCTGGGGTCTGAAGGCTGATGGTTTGTGCTTCAAAGTGAAGGTAGAGATAGAGATCCTAGGAATTAAAAGGTTTAAATTGCTGTAATTTACTTACTTTTTTAATGTTTCTTTCCTTTTGTTAAGCTCTATTGAGAATAGTATATGTTCTGTAGCATATACATTTGCAAGAAATATCTTATGCAAAAGTTGATGGTTCTGCTAACTCAGATGGTGCTAAGAAAGCAGTATTCTTGCATCTGTAGTGCGATCCAGCCTTCCTGGATGACTGGTGTTGCATCCCTTGATTCCTCAGCCCAGTGAGGAACCTTTTCCAAGTTAGCTCCCAAGACTTCTGTTGAGGATCCTGCTGGAGCTGGAGCTGCTCAGTCAGCACTGTTTTGAGGATCTTTCAGATCAGGGAAATGAGTCAACTGAGACTTCTAAATGGCACATTGATGATATTTGACCTTTTTTTTGTTTTTTGTTTTTCGAAACAGGGTTTCTCTTTGTAGCTTTGGAGCCTGTCCTGGCACTCGCTTTGGAGACCAGGCTGATATTTGACCTTTTGTCATCACTTTATGCACAGAGAAACATACATTATGAAGTTTTAAATAAAGAATTGTGTGTTTGGTTGTGTCTGTGGCAAAGCGTAAGACAGCTGGAAGATGCATTTGTGAAAACCAGCTTTGCTCTTAATAGAAAGTGAGATAGTTAACATATCAACAAGAACTCTTTATTGTTTGAGTCAGGGTGGTGACAGATACAAGTCACATACATTAAAATCCATGAAAGAATTATGCAGTCTAAATGCACATTTATAAAATATTTGCATTGTTCTTATTTGACACAAGGCTAAATGCAGTAGCTGAGATCAGCTTTTTGGAGAAGGCATGGATAGAACAGGGCCTGGAAAGACAGAGTTTCATGGAGATGGAGAGAGTCTCAGCATATAATAGTACTGGATGCTCTTTTAGGGGTCCCAGGCTTGATTCTCAGCACACGCATGTTGACTCACAAACATCTATAACTCCAGTTCCAGGGGTCCAATGCCACTTCTGGCTCCTGTGGCCACTCACATAGTACACAGACATATGTGTAGGCAAAACATCCATACACATAAAATAAGGTTGGGTTCATCAGATTTATGTGACAAGATGTCTGAGATGGCAAACTGATTGGAGTTCAAAGTTGAAAAGTTGCTGGAATTAATTCAGAGTTGAACTTTGTGAGAACTAAGGTCTGTCTTATCTAATGACTGGAAGTGACTACGTGGATCTAGCTAGTCACAATGCCTTATTCTAGAGAGATGAAAAAGGAAAACGAAATAGGCAAAGAAAAGAGACTTGGAAGAAGAGGGAGGCAGAGATAAAGCTGAAGGGGCAGTCCCTTCTAGCAAGAAAGAAACCCTGGCCCAATAAGTGAACTCAGATTTACCTTTTCTATCCATGAATATGCTGCAGTCATTAAAATTTCAAATGTTAATTGGAAAGAGCTGATATTTGAACCTGAAATACCAAAAAAGAACACATTTCAGAAAGGGCCTTGTTTTCCTAGACTGTGTTTCTCATGGTGGTGCTCTCCAGGCTGAGCTAATCTTGACAGGCCAGTCCAAGGGTTCAGAAGTCTTACATTATCAGCCTTTAACTTCATGCCTGGATAAGGTCTCATTTACATTTAGCAGCAGAGCAGGACCAGAGAGAACTTGTCAGATTAGAGAGGGTCTCGGGAACCCAATTAAGAAAGTCATATTGAGTTCTTTAAGGTCCTGACAATGATCCTCGAATCAAGGCTTATGGAGGCTAGTGGAGTGGAGTGTGGGGACTGGCAGGACAGGAAAGACAGGGTACTTACTGGCTACTGGAAGGACACTGAAAAAGGATCATCACACCAAGAAAGTGACAGTATGCTCCACATACATGAAAGCATCAGTCGTGAAAATGCTGTGTAAGAAACTTCAAATAAAAGAAAAAAATCACAACAAAATGCTGCAATTGAAAGCGCATGCAGTATATGCACCTTCAAATGTAGGTTTCTGGCCTTAGGGCATGACAAGACTAAGATGTTGGAGATGAAAGCTGATATAATGAAATGTCCGGCTCCCAAATCTTACACTCAGTTGGTTAATCTTAGACAAAAATAATTGAGAACACTTGTGGAAGATTCCAGAAAAAAATGCAGCAGCCCAAGCCACATTCCTCCATATTGCCCAATTCTCTAGGCATTCCACAACAAAGGGTCATGATATGGGGAGGTGATGAATGAGAAAAATAGCTTAATTTGGGAATAGAAGGAGAAAACCTTTCTGATAAAAAGAATAGGGGTCAAATGGTCCATGGAAGGAATGAAAAAAAGTGTGATCATAGCATGTCTTTATCTCTTTCTACAGTGTAATATGTAAGGTTTTCATAGAATACTGGTGTTTTCCTTTTGCCACTATCTCTTACCCCATAGATACAGTTGTACCCTGGCAAACTGTCACTTGCTCATTAATCATGAAAAGCAGAGCATATGATTAGACTAGGAATGACATTTATACTTAATTTCTGTTTAAAAAAGGGGCGGGGGAGGATTCAAGTCTGCCAAGACCTTTGTCCTAAGGATGGCTTTGCATTCCTTCAGGTTGCCACCATCACAGATCTCCATCTCGTGCTGGGAGAACCATACACTGTCGAGTGGAGTAACATGACAGACGAGGAGAAGATAGACTGCTATCCAGATGAGCATGGAGCTTCTGAGGCCAACTGCACTGCCCGGGGCTGCATCTGGGAGGTGAGCTTGCTGAGGATGCTCAGATAAACTGGCACCCTTGAAATAGAGCCTACAATGGCTTTAGCACAGCCGTGTTCTCCTGGATTTATTAACATCCAGGGAGAGAAAAGGCTCCAGATGAGCCTGATTTAGGTTGAGAAGTGGAGCGGTTAGGAGTGGGGTGTTCTCAGTGTTGTTTGGAGTCAAGGAATTTAGAGTCATGCCTACTTTAATTTTTATAGGCATGTTTGAATGAAACAATAACTTTCTCCATACAAATGGCCTTTTCTAATCTATTTGACAACTCCAGATCCCTGCTGATCTAGGATATTGACTTTCTTTTCAGGAATCGGACACTCCTGGGGTTCCTTATTGCTTCTTTGCCAATGGCCTGTACTCAGTCACCGATGTCCAGTATCAACCTGACGGGGTCACAGCCAACATTTCCTTGAAGGATTCTCCTTATACCGAGCTGTACTCGGTCAGGAGTGTACAGTATCGCTCAAATGAGGCCACAGCCAATGTCTCCTTGAAGGATTCTCCTTATAGCAACGCCTTCCCCTCTACACCCGTGAAGCAACTGCAAGTGCAAGTGATCTACCACAAGAATGAAATGCTGCAGTTCAAGGTAAACACAGTGTGCAATCAGGTGTGCACAGGGCCTTTCTAGTTCCATCATCCTTTGCAACCTTTTGTAACAGCATTCCAAAAAAAGTTTTATGTTTTAATCAAATAGTGTAGGACAACATTCTAATAAGGAGAGTAATTAGATGACTGCTAGAACAGGGAAATCTCTCCTAATTTTGAATTTGAGAGAATCACTCTGTCTAAAGAAAATGTTTAGGAGGACAAAACACAGAGAGGAAGCAGAGAAGTCTACCTGGAAGGTTGGGCAGTTGTGGATGAGTTGGTCTATGGGTAAGACGGGAGATGGGCAACAGGGATATGTTTGAGACCTTGAGACCATCTTGGTCATTCAAATCAACTACAAGAGGAGCATGCCTGAAGAATTACTCCCATGTTCATAGCATTCAAATGTGTGTGTATGGTTAGTAATGATAATGGAATTCAGAAAACTGATAAGATACGTGATTGAAATATATGAGGGGGAGTATGATTTTTGAATAAAATAATTGGAGGCACATTTGAAATACTCATGAAAGTAATTTCTTTTCCCTCCATGGTTTAATTAAAGAAAGGGACAAGGGATGGACTAGTTTGTTTGTTTCATTATTAAACTGTTAGCTGTCTTCCAC